CGAAATTATTCACCCCCCTTGGCATTTTTCCTATTTTGTTGCCTTTAACCTGGAATTAAAATTGATTTTTGGGGGGTTTGTATCATTTGATTTACACAACATACCTACCACTTTGAAGATGCAAAATATTAATTATTGTGAAACAAACAAGAAATAAGACAAAAAAACAGAAAACTTGAGCGTGCATAACTATTCACCCCCCAAAGTCAATACTTTGTAGAGCCACCTTTTGCAGCAATTACAGCTGCAAGTCTCTTGGGGTATGTCTCTATAAGCTTGGCACATCTAGCCACTGGGATTTTTGCCCATTTTTCAAGGCAAAACTGCTCCAGCTCCTTCAAGTTGGATGGGTTCCGCTCGTGTACAGCAATCTTTAAGTCATACCACAGATTCTCAATTGGATTGAGGTCTGGGCTTTGACTAGGCCATTTCAAGACATTTAAATGTTTCCCCTTAAACCTCTCGAGTGTTGCTTTAGCAGTATGCTTAGGGGCATTGTCCTGCTGGAAGGTGAACCTCCGTCCCAGTCTCAAATCTCTGGAAGACTGAAACAGGTTTCCCTCAAGAATTTCCCTGTATTTAGCACCATCCATCATTCCTTCAATTCTGACCAGTTTCCCAGTCCCTGACGATGAAAAACATCCCCACAGCATGATGCTGCCACCACCATGCTTCACTGTGGGGATGGTGTTCTCGGGGTGATGAGAGGTGTTGGGTTTGCGCCAGACATAGCACTTTCCTTGATGGCCAAAAAGCTCAATTTTAGTCTCATCTGACCAGAGTACCTTCTTCCATATGTTTGGGGAGTCTCCCACATGCCTTTTGGCGAACACCAAACGTGTTTGCTTATTTTGTTCATGAAGCAATGGCTTTTTTCTGGCCACTCTTCCGTAAAGCCCAGCTCTGTGGAGTGTACGGCTTAAAGTGGTCCTATGGACAGATACTCCAATCTCAGCTGTGGAGCTTTGCAGCTCCTTCAGGGTTATCGTTGGTCTCTTTGTTGCCTCTCTGATTAATGCCCTCCTTGCCTGGGTCGTGAGTTTTGGTGGGCGGCCCTCTCTTGGCAGGTTTGTTGTGGTGCCATATTCTTTCAATTTTTTAATCATGGATTTAATGGTGCTCCGTGGGATGTTCAAAGTTTCTGATATTTTTTTATAACCCAACCCTGATCTGTACTTCTCCACAACTTTGTCCCTGACCTGTTTGGAGAGATCCTTGGTCTTCATGGTGCCGCTTGCTTGGTGGTGCCCCTTGCTTAGTGGTGTTGCAGACTCTGGGGCCTTTCAGAACAGGTGTATATATACTGAGATCATGTGACAGATGATGTGACACTTAGATTGCACACAGGTGGACTTTATTTAACTAATTATGTGACTTCTGAAGGTAATTGGTTGCACCAGATCATATTTAGGGGCTTCATAGCAAAGGGGGTGAATACATACAGTGGGGGGAAAAAGTATTTAGTCAGCCACCAATTGTGCAAGTTCTCCCACTTAAAAAGATGAGAGAGGCCTGTAATTTGTGAGTGGCGCAGTGGTCTAAGGCACTGGATCGCAGTGCTAACTGTGCCACTAGAGATCCTGGTTTGAATCCAGGCTCTGTCGCAGCCGGCCGCGACCAGGAGACTCATGGGCGGCGCACAATTGGCCCAGCGTTGTCCAGGGTAGGGGAGGGAATGGCCGGCAGGGATGTAGCTCAGTTGATAGAGCATGGCGTTTGCAACGGCAGGGTTGTGGGTTCGATTCCCACGGGGGGCCAGTATAAAAATATATATATATATATATATATATATATGTGTTCACTAACTGTAAGTCGCTCTGGATAAGAGCGTCTGCTAAATGACTAAAATGTAAATGTAAATGTAATTTTCATCATAGGTACACGTCAACTATGACAGACAAATTGAGAAATTCTTTTCCAGAAAATCACATTGTAGGATTTTTTATGAATTTATTTGCAAATTATGGTGGAAAAATAAGTATTTGGTCACCTACAAACAAGCAAGATTTCTGGCTCTCACAGACCTGTAACTTCTTCTTTAAGAGGCTCCTCTGTCCTCCACTCGTTACCTGTATTAATGGCACCTGTTTGAACTTGTTATCAGTATAAAAGACACCTGTCCACAACCTCAAACAGTCACACTCCAAACTCCACTATGGCCAACACCAAAGAGCTGTCAAAGGACACCAGAAACAAAATTGTAGATCTGCACCAGGCTGGGAAGACTGAATCTGCAATAGGTAAGCAGCTTGGTTTGAAGAAATCAACTGTGGGAGCAATTATTAGGAAATGGAAGACATACAAGACCACTGATAATTTCCCTCGATCTGGGGCTCCACGCAAGATCTCACACCGTGGGGTCAAAATGATCACAAGAACGGTGAGCAAAAATCGCAGAACCACACGGGGGGACCTAGTGAATGACCTGCAGAGAGCTGGGACCAAAGTAACAAAGCCTACCATCAGTAACACACTACGCCGCCAGGGACTCAAATCCTGCAGTGCCAGACGTGTCCCCCTGCTTAAGCCAGTACATGTCCAGGCCCGTCTGAAGTTTGCTAGAGTGCATTTGGATGATCCAGAAGAGGATTGGGAGAATGTCATATGGTCAGATGAAACCAAAATAGAACTTTTTGGTAAAAACTAAACTTGTCATGTTTAGAGGACAAAGAATGCTGAGTTGCATCCAAAGAACACCATACCTACTGTGAGGCATGGGGGTGGAAACATCATGCTTTGGGGCTGTTTTTCTGCAAAGGGACCAGGACGACTGATCCGTGTAAAGGAAAGAATGAATGGGGCCATGTATCGTGAGATTTTGAGTGAAAACCTCCTTCCATCAGCAAGGGCATTGAAGATGAAACGTGGCTGGGTCTTTCAGCATGACAATGATCCCAAACACACCGCCCGGGCAACGAAGGAGTGGCTTCGTAAGAAGCATTTCAAGGTCCTGGAGTGGCCTAGCCAGTCTCCAGATCTCAACCCCATAGAAAATCTTTGGAGGGAGTTGAAAGTCCGTGTTGCCCAGCGACAGCCCCAAAACATCACTGCTCTAGAGGAGATCTGCATGGAGGAATGGGCCAAAATACCAGCAACAGTGTGTGAAAACCTTGTGAAGACTTACAGAAAACGTTTGACCTGTGTCATTGCCAACAAAGGGTATATAACAAAGTATTGAGGAACTTTTGTTATTGACCAAATACTTATTTTCCACCATAATTTGCAAATAAATTCATTAACAATCCTACAATGTGATTTTCTGGATTTTTTTTTCTCATTTTGTCTGTCATAGTTGACGTGTACCTATGATGAAAATTACAGGCCTCTCTCATCTTTTTAAGTGGGAGAACTTGCACAATTGGTGGCTGACTAAATACTTTTTTTTCCCCACTGTATGCACGTACCACTTTTCCGTTATTTAGTTTTTTAATTTCACTTCACCAATTTGGACTTTTTGGTGTGCGTATGTCCATTACATGAAATAAAAAATACAAATCCATTTAAATTACAGGTTGTAATGCAAATTTTTTTTTAAAATGCCAAGTGGGATGAATACTTTAGCAAGGCCCTGTATGTGTTACAGACTCGGTCAGGGACAGGTTGAAAATGTCAGCGAAGACACTTGCCAGTTGGTCCGCGCATGCTCTGAGTACACGTCCTGGTAATCCGTCCTGGTAATGTTTACCTGTTTAAAGGTCTAGCTCACATCGATTATGGAGAGCGTGATCCCACAGTCGCCTAGCATCTTTGTTGAAACAAGGTGTCTTCTTTTGGCTTCTGGTGTCCAAGGTAACCAGAGCAGGCACCCAAGTGGCTGGTTTCGAATCAGACAAATGGTATTTGACACGCACACACACACAGGCACACACACACAGGCACACACACACAGGCACACACACACAGGCACGCACACACAGGCACGCACACACAGGCACGCACACACAGGCACGCACACACAGGCACACACACACAGGCACGCACACACAGGCACGCACACACAGGCACGCACACACAGGCACGCACACACAGGCACGCACCACACAGGTCACGCACCCACAAGCCACGGCACGACACAGGCCAAACAACATTCCACGCACACACACACAGGCACAGGCACGCACACACAGGCACACACTGCAGAGCCTCCGCCCATTTGGCCTCCTATCCTACCAAGTCCGTGCTGCGACTAACATACTGCTACTAGTGTGTGTTGGTTGTGTGTGGTGTGTGTGGTGTTGTGTGTTTGGTGTGGTGTGTGTGTGTGTGTTGTGTGTGTGTGTGGTGAGTGTGTGTTGTGTGTGTGTGTGTGGTGTGTGTGTGTGTATGTGAGAGACAGAGATAATACAAGCCAGTATTGTAACATGATGTGAGAATTTACAGCAGGTATCAAGGGCTTGTAGTGGGATGCTTCTAAGCCCATGCTTTGATGTTAACAGTGTGCTTCTTGTATTCACTGGGGGCTATGATGCTGCCTGTATGGAGCTTGTTGTTCACTGGTCTATGATGCTGCTGCTAGGAGCTGTTGTATTCACTGGGGCTAATTGTTGTATTCACTGGGGCTAATGATGCTGCTGCTATGGAGCTTGTTGTATTCACTGGGGCTAATGCTGCTGCTGCTATGGAGCTTGTTGTATTCACTGGGGCTAATGATGCTGCTGCTATGGAGCTTCTTGTATTCACTGGGGCTAATGATGCTGCTGCTATGGAGCTTGTTGTATCACTGGGGCTAATGATGCTGCTGCTATGGAGCTTGTTGTATTCACTGGGGCTAATGATGCTGTGCTATGGAGCTTGTTGTATTCACTGGGGCTAATGATGCTGCTGCTATGGAGCTTGTTGTATTCACTGGGGCTAATGATGTGCTTGCTATGGAGCTTGTTGTATTCACTGGGGCTAATATGCTGTTGCTATGGAGCTTGCTGTATTCACTGGGGCTAATGATGCTGCTGCTATGGAGCCTGGGGCTAATGATGTAGCTATGGAGCTGTTGTATTCACTGGGCTAATGATGCTACTGCTATGGAGCTTGTTGTATTCACTGGGGCTAATGATGCTGCTGCTATGGAGCTTGTTGTATTCACTGGGGCTAATGATGCTGTTGCTATGGAGCTTGTTGTATTCACTGGGGCTAATGATGCTGCTGCTATGGAGCTTGTTGTATTCACTGGGGCTAATGATGCTGCTGCTATGGAGCTTGTTGTATTCACTGGGGCTAATGATGCTGCTGCTATGGAGCTTGTTGTATTCACTGGGGCTAATGATGCTGCTGCTATGGAGCTTGTTGTATTCACTGGGGCTAATGATGCTGTTGCTATGGAGCTTGTTGTATTCACTGGGGCTAATGATGCTGCTGCTATGGAGGCACACAGCAGGAGACGCAGATCAGAACAGTCTACTCAGGGATGAATATTTCACCACATCACTGACTGTATAGTACCCACTAAGAGAGGTAGATATGATTTACACTCTTGTTGAGATGTGTACACTGTGAGAGATTTTGACTAAGGTATAAAGTACAAAGTTAGTTATATAAATGCTTAGTTGGTAGGTAAACGTTAGATATACAGTGGGGAGAACAAGTATTTGATACACTGCCGATTTTGCAGGTTTTCCTACTTACAAAGCATGTAGAGGTCTGTAATTTTTATCATAGGTACACTTCAACTGTGAGAGACGGAATCTAAAACAAAAATCCAGAAAATCACATTGTATGATTTTTAAGTAATTAATTTGCATTTTATTGCATGACATAAGTATTTGATCACCTACCAACCATTAAGAATTCCGGCTCTCACAGACCTGTTAGTTTTTCTTTAAGAAGCCCTCCTGTTCTCCACTCATTACCTGTATTAACTGCACCTGTTTGAACTCGTTTCCTGTATAAAAGACACCTATCCACACAATCAATCAAACAGACTCCAACCTCTCCACAATGGCCAAGACCAGAGAGCTGTGTAAGGACATCAGGGATAAAATTGTAGACCTGCACAAGGCTGGGATGGGCTACAGGACAATAGGCAAGCAGCTTGGTGAGAAGGCAACAACTGTTGGCACAATTATTAGAAAATGGAAGAAGTTCAAGATGACGGTCAATCATCCTCGGTCTGGGGCCCCATGCAAGATCTCACCTTGTGGGGCATCAATGATCATGAGGAAGGTGAGGGATCAGCCCAGAACTACACGGCAGGACCTGGTCAATGACCTGAAGAGAGCTGGGACCACAGTCTCAAAGAAAACCATTAGTAACACACTACGCCGTCATGGATTAAAATCCTGCAGCGCACGCAAGGTCCCCCTGCTCAAGCCAGCGCATGTCCAGGCCCGTCAGAAGTTTGCCATTGACCATCTGGATGATCCAGAGGAGGAATGGGAGAAGGTAATGTGGTCTGATGAGACAAAAATTGAGTTTTTTGGTCTAAACGGCACTCGCAGTGTTTGGAGGAAGAAGAAGGATGAGTACAACCCCAAGAACACCATCCCAACCGTGAAGCATGGAGGTGGAAACATCATTCTTTGGGGATGCTTTTCTGCAAAGGGGACAGGACGACTGCACCGTATTGAGGGGAGGATGGATGGGGCCATGTATCGCGAGATCTTGGCCAACAACCTCCTTCCCTCAGTAAGAGCATTGAAGATGGGTCGTGGCTGGATCTTCCAGCATGACAACGACCCGAAACACACAGCCAGGGCAACTAAGGAGTGGCTCCGTAAGAAGCATCTCAAGGTCCTGGAGTGGCCTAGCCAGTCTCCAGACCTGAACCCAATAGAAAATCTTTGGAGGGAGCTGAAAGTCCGTATTGCCCAGAGACAGCCCCGAAACCTGAAGGATCTGGAGAAGGTCTGTATGGAGTATGGAGGATTGGGCCAAAATCCCTGCTGCAGTGTGTGCAAACCTGGTCAAGACCTACAGGAAACGTATGATCTCTGTAATTGCAAACAAAGGTTTCTGTACCAAATATTAAGTTCTGCTTTTCTGATGTATCAAATACTTATGTCACGCAATAAAATGCAAATGAATTACTTAAAAATCATACAATGTGATTTTCTGGATGTTTGTTTTAGATTCCGTCTCTCACAGTTGAAGTGTACCTATGATAAAAATTACAGACCTCTACATGCTTTGTAAGTAGGAAAACCTGCAAAATCGGCAGTGTATCAAATACTTGTTCTCCCCACTGTAAATATTAGTTATTGGACTGCCCAAAGTGAGCACCAAGCCAGCCAGCCAGCTAGATAGACTTACTGAGGTACAGTATATGTGGAAACAGAGTAGATGTCCCAGCAGACAGACATACAAAGGGCCAGCCAGCCAGAGACAGACATAAACATGAAGTATAAAGCAGATGTTAAACTCACGGAGGTATATGTGGAAGCAGAGTAGATGCCCCAGCAGCAGAGCAGAGAGCAGGCCCAGGGCGATGGTGACGCCAGCCAGGGTAGGGATGGCTGGGCCTGCTGTGGAGACCGGAGCCACGGGCAGGAACACAAACCACACCACCGTCTCATTCTTCACTGTGAGGGGGACAAGGCAGGGACATCAGCACAGACGTCAGGAGTGGACACAGAGAGCTAGTCTTGTATTAAGTCTTCATCTCTCTCTCTCTCTCTTCCCTTCTCTCTCTCTCTCTCTCTCTCTCTCTCTCTCTCTCTCTCTCTCTCTCTGCTTCCCTTTCTCTCTCTCTCTCTCTCTCTCTCTGTCTCTCTCTCATAATAAAGCTGATAGATTGAATGTAGATGATCATACTGTAGATTATAGTAAATAAAAGACAGAAAACCCAACACTCAAGTCAGGTACCAGGGTTTACCTTGAAAGTGTTTATCAGTGCCAGGTACCAGGGTTTACCTTGAAAGTGTTTATCAGTGCCAGGTACCAGGGTTTACCTTGAAAGTGTTTCTCAGTGCCAGGTACCAGGGTTTACCTTGAAAGTGTTTCTCAGTGCCAGGTACCAGGGTTTACCTTGAAAGTGTTTATCAGTGCCAGGTACCAGGGTTTACCTTGAAAGTGTTTCTCAGTGCCAGGTACCAGGGTTTACCTTGAAAGTGTTTTCTCTGTGCCAGGTACCAGGGGTTTACCTTGAAAGTGTTTATCATTGCCAGGTACCAGGGTTTACCTTGAAAGTGTTATCAGTGTCAGGTACCAGGGTTTACCTTGAAGTGTTTATCAGTGCCAGGTTACCAGGGTTTACCTGAACGTGTTTCTCAGTGTCAGGTACAGGGTTTTACCTTGAAGTGTTTATCAGTGCCAGGTACCAGGGTTTACCTTGAAAGTGTTTTATCAGTGCCCAGGTTACCAGGTGTTACGTGAAAGTGTGTTATCAGTGTCGGTACCGGGTTTACCTTGAAAGTGTTTATCAGTGTCCAGGTTTACCTGAAAGTGTTTATCAGTGTAGTACCAGGGTTTACCTTGAAAGTGTTTATCAGTGCCAGGTACCAGGGTTTACCTTGAAAGTGTTTATCAGTGCCAGGTACCAGGGTTTACCTTGAAAGTGTTTATCAGTGCCAGGTACCAGGGTTTACCTTGAAAGTGTTTATCAGTGCCAGGTACCAGGGTTTACCTTGAAAGTGTTTATCAGTGTCCAGGTACCAGGGTTTACCTTGAAAGTGTTTATCAGTGCCAGGTACCAGGGTTTACCTTGAAAGTGTTTCTCAGTGCCAGGTACCAGGGTTTACCTTGAAAGTGTTTATCAGTGCCAGGTACCAGGGTTTACCTTGAAAGTGTTTATCAGTGCCAGGTACCAGGGTTTACCTTGAAAGTGTTTATCAGTGCCAGGTACCAGGGTTTACCTTGAAAGTGTTTATCAGTGCCAGGTACCAGGGTTTACCTTGAAAGTGTTTATCAGTGTCAGGTTGACCAGGGTTTACCGTGGAAAGTGTTTCCAGTGCCAGGTACCAGGGTTTCTGAAAGTGTTTATTCAGTGCAAGGTAACAGGGTTTACCTTGAAAGGTTTAGCAGATGCCAGTACAAGGTTTACCTTGAAAGTGTTATCAGTGCCAGGGACCAGGGGTTACCTTGAATAGTGTTATCCAGTGCAACGGGTAACAAGGTTGGTGTACCCTTGAAAGTGTTTATCACTGCGCAGCTTTGAGGGATCCAAGAAGAACTCGATGAAGATGTAACTGGCGATGACCACCACCAGGAATATACCCAGCAGAGCAGAGATCACACTGTTCAGGAAAAGCCTGGGGTACAAGAGAGAGAGAGGATAGGTTAGGGTACATGAACACAGAGATACCACTGTTCAGGAAAAGCCTGGGGGGGGGGGGGGGGAGAGGGGGAGAGGGGGGAGAGATAGGTTAGGGTACATGAAAACACCAGAACCACTTGATCAGGGAAAAACAAAAGCCTGGGGGGGGGAGAGAGTGGGGAGAGAGAGATAGGTTAGGGTACATGAAACACAGAGATACCACTGTTCAGGGAAAAGCCTGGGGGGGAGATAGGTTAGGGTACATGAACACAGAGATACCACTGTTCAGGAAAAGCCTGTGGGGGGGAGATAGGTTAGGGTACATGAACACAGAGATACCACTGTTCAGGAAAAGCCTGGGGGGGGGGGGGGAGAGATAGGTTAGGGTACATGAACACAGAGATACCACTGTTCAGGAAAAGCCTGGGGGGGGGGGAGAGATAGGTCTAGGGTACATGAACACAGCGGATACCACCTGTTCAGGAAAAGACTGGGGGGGGGGGGGGAGAGATAGGTTGAGGGTACATGAAAAACAGAGAAATAACACTGTTCCGGAAAAAGCTGGGGGGCGGGGGAGAGATAGGAGAGATAGGTTAGGTACATGAACACAGAGATACCACTGTTCAGGAAAAGCTGGGGGGGGGGAGAGATAGGTTAGGGTCATGGGACACCGAGATACCACTGTTTCAGGAAAAGCCTGGGGGGGGAGAGCTAGGTTAGGGTACATGACACAGAGATACCACTGTTCAGGAAAAGTGGGGGGGGGGGATAGGTTAGGGTACATGAACACAGAGATACCACTGTTCAGGAAAAGCGGGGGGGGGGGGGGAGATAGGGGAGATAGGTTTAGGTACAGAACACGAGATACCACTGTTCAGGAAAAGCCTGGGGGGGTGGGAGAGATAGGTTTAGGGTACCATTGAACACAGAGGATACCACTGTTCAGGAAAAGCCTGGGGGGGAGAGATAGGTTAGGGTCCATGGACACAGAGAGGGAATAATGAGAGGTTAGGATATGATATATTATTAATACCAGAGGAGTGAAAAAGGCAACACTGACAGAGAAAGATAAAGCTTGGTGCATGTTCAGGCACGATGTCAAGTTACATAGTTTGAAGTGAACGCTGACTTATACAGTCAGGACACAAACAATCAGTCATAGCACTGTGACAGTTCCAACTCATGAGAGACAAGGGCTTCAGAGTGACAGTCCAGCAATGGACAAGAGGCTTTCATTACAGACAAACACAGTGTTGTTATGTTGCTGTGAAACAGAGCACTATTCTGTGTTATGACCTAAACTCACCCAGGACAGCTACTACCTCATGACTAAACTCACCCAGACAGCATACTACCTCATGACCTAACTCACCCAGGACAGCATACTAACCTCATGACCTAAAAACTCACCCAGGAACAGATACAACCTCATGACCTAAAACTCACCAGAACAGCATAGTAACCTTATGAACCTAAAAATCACCCAGGACAGAATTACTAACCTCATGACTAAAACTCAACCAGGACAGCATACTACCCTCATGACCTTAAACTCACCCAGGACAGCATACTAACCTTATGACCTAAACTCACCCAGGACAGCATGCTAACCTTATGACCTAAACTCACCCAGGACAGCATACTAACCTTATGACCTAAACTCACCCAGGACAGCATACTAACCTTATGACATAAACTCACCAAGGACAGCATACTAACCTCATGACCTAAACTCACCAAGGACAGCATGCTAACCTTATGACCTAAACTCACCCAGGACAGCATACTAACTCATGACCTAAACTCACAAGGAAAGAATACTAACCTTATGACCTAAACCTCACCCAGACAGCATACTAACCTCATGACCTAAAACTCCACCAAGGACAGCACACTAACCTTATGACCTAAACTCACACAGGGACAGCATTACCTAACCTTATGACCGTAATCACCCAGGACAGCATACTAACCTCATGACCTAAACTCACCAAGGACAGCATACTAACCTCATGACCTAAACTCACCCAGGACAGCATACTAACCTTATGACCTAAACTCACCCAGGACAGCATACTAACCTTATGACCTAAACTCCACCCAGGACAGCATACTAACCTTATGACCTAAACTCACCCAGGACAGCATACTAACCTCATGACCTAAACTCACCAGACCAGCAGACTAACCCTGGCATAAACTCACCCAGTGACAGCATTTACTAACCTTATGACTAAAACTCACCCAGGACAGCATACTAACCTTATGACCTATAAACTCACCAGGACAGCATACTAACCTTGATGACCTAAACTCACCCAGGGACAGGCATACTTAACATTATGACCTAAAACTCACCCAGGACCGCATACTAACATCATTGACACTACTAAACTCCACCCAGGACAGCATCATACTAACCTATGGACCTAAACTCACCCAGGACGCTTATACTATTGGACCTAAACTCACCCAGGACAGCATGACCTAACCTTTATGACCTAAAATCAACCCAGGACAGCAATACTAACCGTTTAGACCTAAACTCACCCAGGACAGCATACTAACTCATGCCCTAAACTCACCCAGGAACAGCCATAATAACATCATGCCTAAACTCACCAGGACAGATACTAACCTCATGACTAAACTACCCAGGACAGCATATAACCTTATGACACCTAAGAACTCACCCAGGACAGCATACTAACCTTATGACCTAAACTCACCCAGGACAGCATACTTACTAACCTCATGACCTAAACTCACCCAGGACAGCATACTAACCTTATGACCTAAACTCACCCAGGACAGCATACTAACCTTATGACCTAAACTCACCAGGACAGCATACAACCTTATGACCTAAAAAACTCACCAGGCAGCATTACTAACCCTTAATGACCTAAACTCACCCAGGACAGCATACTACCTTAATGACCTAAACTCACCCAGGACAGCATACTAACCTTATGACCTAAACTCACCCAGGACAGCATACTAACCTTATGACCTAAACTCCCCAGGAAGCATACAACCTTGACCTAAACTACCCAGGACAGCATACTAAACCTTCTGACCTAAAACTCACCCAGGGACAGCATACTAACCTTATGACCTAAACTCACCAGGACAGCATACTACCTTATGACCTAAACTCACCCAGGAAAGCATACTAACTATGACCTAAACTCACACAGGACAAGCATACTACCTATGACCTAAACTGCCACCAGGACAGCATACTAACCTTATGACCTAAACTCAACCCGGGACAGATTACTAACCTTATGACCTAAAACTCCCACCAGGACAGACATTCCTAACCTCATGACCTAAAACATCACCAGGACAGATACGAAACATTATGACTAACCTCACCCAGGAACAGCCATACTAACTCATGACCTAACTGCCCCAGGACAGCATACTAACCCTTAGACCTAAATCACCCAGGACAGCATACTACCTTATGACATAAATCACCAAGGACAGCATACTAACCTCATGACCCCTAAACTCAACCAAGGACAGCATGAAACCTTATGACCTAAATCACCCAAGGACAGCATACATAACCTCATGACCTAAACTCACCAAGGACAGCATTACTACATTAGACCTAAACTCACCCAGGACAGCATACTAAACTCATATGGACCTCCTAAATCACCAAGGGACAGCATACTAACGCTTATGACCTAAACTCACCCAGGACAGCATACTACTTATGACAAAACTCACCAGCAGGACAGCATACTAAACCTCATGACCTAAACTCACCAAGGACAGCCTACTAAAACCCATGGAACCTAAATCACCCAGGACAGCTACTAAACCTTATGACCTAAACTCACCCAGGACAGATACTAACCTTATGACCTAAAACTCACCCAGGACAGCATACTAACCTTAGACCTAAAACTCACCCAGGACACATACTAACCTCTGACCAAACTCACCCAGGACAGAATACTAACCTTCAGACCTAAACTCACCAGGACAGATACTAACCTTATGACCCCTAAACTCACCCAGGACAGGTTAATGACGAACCTTATGACCTAAAACTCACCCAGCGACAGCATACTAACCTTATGACTAAACCACCCAGGGCCAGCATTTTAACAAACTAACCTTATGACCTAAACTCACCCAGGACAGCATACTCAACCTTCATGACCTAACTCACCAGGAAAAGCATTACTAACCTCATGACCAAACTCACCCAGACAGCCGACTAACCTCATGACCTAACTCACCCAGGACAGCATACTAACCTATGACCTAAACTCCACCCAGGACAGCATACGACCTTAGACCTAACTCACCCAGGACAGCCATACAACCTATGAACCTAAACTCACCAGGACGATACTAAACCTCATGGGCCTAAACTCCACACAGAGAACAGCATTACAACCTCATGACCTAAACTCACCAGGACGCATAAACCTTTGACCTAAATCACAAGGACAGCATACTAACCTTGGACCTAAACTCACCCAGGACAGCATACTAACTTAGGACCTAAACTCACCCAGGGAAAGCAACTTAACCTCTGACCTAACTCACCCAGGGAACAGCATACTAACCTCATGGCCTAAAATCACCCAGGACAGCATATAACCTTATGACCTAAACTCACCAGGACAGCATACAACCTTATGACTAACTCACCCAGGACAGCATTACTAAAATGACCTAAACCACCCAGGACAGCATTACAACCTCATGACCTAAAACTCACCAGGACAGCATACGAACTTCATGACCTTAAAAACTCACCCAGGACGCTACTAACCTCATGACCTAAACTCACCCAGGACAGCATACTAACCTTAGGACCTAAAGCACCAAAGACAGCATTTGACTACCTTATGACCTAAACTCACCCAGGACAGACATACTAAACCTTTGACCTAAACTCACCAAGGACAGCATACTAACCTCATGACCTAAACTCACCCAGGACAGCATACTAACCTGCATGA